AAATGGAGATTTTAGATATAAGTTTCGAATTTTTCAGATTTTCTTTGAGTGAAAGTTTTTGATAGTTGTAATTGATGGTAGAAAATAGGGAGATTAGGTTTTATTTTTTGAGAAACGTATAAGTTTTATCTTTTGCATGCAAATGGGTCAATGCCCTTTAATTCTGTCTACACATCCGAAAGGATATCTCCAAATGAAATTGAACCACTACTTCTGCAGTATTCTACAAGTTAGAAAATCAATTCTGCCAACTGGCACGCAATGCTCCTGTGGCAGCTTTTCACAGTATTACTATTATATAAAGTCCACATATCACAAGCAATACCCAACGTTTGGAAGCTCTCTCTCCCATGGCTGCAGGAAGAGTAGCTTCTCCATCACAATTATTCATAGCCCTCCTCTTAGTTCTTAGCTTATGCTGTTTGAGTTGCAATGCTAAGGATGATTATCGTCAACAGTGTGAACCTTCATGGTGCGGCAAACATAACATAAGCCACCCTTTCCGACTAAAAGATGATCCAGAGAAGTGCGGTGACTCAAGGTATGAGCTGTCTTGTGAGAAGAACAACCTTACAGTATTATACTTGTATTCTGGAAAATACTATGTGCAGGCAATCAATTATAATAACTACACCATCCGAGTTGTGGATGCCAATCTTCACAAGGGTAACTGCTCTTCAGTTCCCTATTATTCATTGTCAGCGTCTAACTTCAGTTACGAGGATGAGGATCCGTATGGGATTTCTCAAGGTAGAGGTAAGGGGCATTGGTGGGACACAGATTATGTGAAACTGTCAAAGCCTATAATATTTCTGACCTGTGAAACCCCGGTGAATTCGCCTCTCTATGTGGATACTGCTCCTTGCGTTGGTGCAATGAGTAGTTCCAATTCCAATGGGCATTCATATGTTAGTGTTGGAGGATTAAATGCGTCAGACTTGATTGAGTTTTGTCGCATAGAGCTTATGTTAATGACATCGTCGCAGCTTACAAAGAACAATTCCTACATAGACATCCACAATGAGATGATCTATGGCTTTGAACTTACATGGATACAGAGTTACCGTAGAGGTCGAAGCTGGTTTAGTTGCTACGTCGACAGTGATACCAACAAAATTAATTGCTCTCATGAATGCTATGATTTATACTGTGGTAAGTATGTCAAAGATTTCTTCATTTGTTTTCTTCTGGTAACATAACTGTAGGCACATGTTCTGTTTTTTAACATGCCAAGATTCTAAAGTTCAAACTTGATGAAAACTTTTGACTTTGATGATGCAGGCTTCATCGTATATCTATATGGTGAGGACTCTCAATCCTATATTGTTTTCAATTTCTTCCAGTCTAAGCTGCATTGTTATTATTATTAGTTAATTCGCTCTGTTTCTTGCAGATTTCGGTGTCGTCCTTGGTGAGTTTCATCTCAATTTATTTTTTCTTCTCAATTATTATCCTCAGCAAATAAAAATTACTCTTTCCAGGAAAGAAAATTCATGCAGTGTTAAACAATTGGTCTCTAGTATTCGATTACATATACATTCTGGTTGTAGCAGCAACACATATTTCCATGATTCATTTCGACACTTCCTTACAGGACTAGCACTTGGAGCTAGGGCTGTACTTGGGGCTCCGTGTCTGATTGCGCTTTTAATTTATAAATTCAAGAGGCGGCACTCCATACACTCTATATCCCTTTTCACAGCTTCCATATCCCATGAAAACTCCCTTTCTAGTTCTGTCATCGAATTTATGCCTCAAGGGTGATGGGACATGAGTATAGCAAATACAACCAAATACTTTCAGAAGCTTAATTCCAGGCTTCCTACATGTGAAAGCTTCAAAAGGTGTTTTGTTCAACACAGATGTTGTAAAGCATCTATTTTGAAGGTACACAGTTGTGCTCACTACTTCTGCCCAAAAAATCACAGGAATTCCCTTCTCAGTCATCATAGACCTTGCCATCTCACCAATTGTTCTATTTCTTCTCTCAGCAACTCCATTTTGCTGAGGAGAGCAGGCAATGGTCAGTTGCCTCTCCATTCCCATGCTTGCACAGTAATCCTGAAATTCATGTAAGCTATATTCACCACCTCTATCACTCCTTAGCTTCTTCAAACTGAATCCACTTTGCAGTTCAACAAAGACTTTGAATTTCTTGAACACATTGAAGGTATCAGACTATTTCTGAGGAAGTATACCCAACACATTCTTGAAAAATCATCTATGAATGTGATGAAATGACAGGACCCGTCCCGAATTTTCCGGAACCTGAGACGAACCCTGCGGAGACCCCGGCATCACACCCACGCCGGGTTCACTCCTTAAATCTATGTCCTCATTTACCAAAGAGGATTAAGGGCACGAGACTTTTTGCCGAAACTTCGGCAGAGTCTCCCCTGTAAATTGAACATTTCCCCAAAATTTCCACCTGCATAAAACACATTTATAACCCAACTGGCAGCATGCACAATATAATCTCATGCAATTTACATAAATGGCCTCCGGCCTTCAAATGATTCTAGCAGAACTGCCCACAATGCTTTTAAAATAACTTAATGCATCAAACATGCATATACCAAATTCCAAATCTATTTATGCACACCTTCACTTGCTCAGTCCACAGGACGAGTCTCAATTCAACCAAGTTTCGGGACCATCAACGAGGTCCAAACCAATCTCAATAAGACCACCTAAGTGGGGTCTAATCTGTGGCTGCACCTAGTAACTTCAGGCTGCCTACGTACCCTACTAAGGGATCAAGCCACACGTAGCTCTTTCGTATCTATCCTGGCTCCTAATATCAAATAAACCATTACCACCACACAAATACATACATTCTAATATTTATCCAACACAACACACCAAACACAATCACAATGTCACCCCTCATACGACGGGACGTACCCGGCCTCGTATGGGGCCTGTCAACACGCCGGCTAATCCAAAGACGCGTGCGACCTCACCACTGGGCCTGGCTACATTCTCACCAGCCCTCACACAACCATAACTCCCCTCATACGACGGGACGCACCCGGCCTCGTATGGGGTCTGTCAACACGCCGGCTAATCCAAAGACGCGTGCGACCTCGCACTGGGCCTGGCTACATTCTCACCAGCCCTTATACCATCATATCACCCACTCATACGTCGGGACGTACCCGGCCACGTACGGGGCCTGGACCAATTCAATGAAGGAAAGGACATAGAGATAGAAGATGCCACTGAGGAGGAAATGAAAATAACAAAGAAGATGCTTATAGTGGCATTATGGTGTATACAAATGAAGCCTAGCGAGCGTCCTACTTCGATGAGCAAAGTAGTACAGATGCTTGAAGGAGAAACTGAAGCCCTTCAAATGCCTCCAAAGCCTTTCCTTTATCCACAAGACAAACCAGTGGTGGATGATGAAGACAATCCAGAAACAACATGGCCATCGTCAACACAATCTAATGACGACTCTGAAGACTCAATAAGCTTAATTCAAAATGCCGACAATTAGCCTGAGTATATTTATAGTATGCCCGAGGAAAGGCTTCATGGCCAACATTTCAACTCTGCAGGGGCAGTAATAATGGTTGCTTCGTTTTTGGTAGGACGAATCCTTCTTGTAATATATTTCTTTCATGATTTGTGAACTTGTTTTCAACAGTTTTTGGTCCTTCCTCCTTTAAATTGAAGTGTAACGTGTCCCACTCTTCAGTATGCACTTGCTGTTGATGGAATTTTTATTTTCTGAACGTATTAATGGATTGTAAACTTCATTTACTACAGGGTAGAGTTGATTTGTCAACTCTAAACTAGTCAAGGTATTGCCTTTCATGCATATCACTAAACTAGTCAAGGTATTAATCTTCACCATGAATTAATGTCTAAGCAACAATAAATAGAAAAGACTACTGTGGGATTAATCTTCACCATGTCCACTTGTTCTAATGTTTAAAATAATCTATGGATATTAACTTAAAAACGAAAGTGCAGGACGAAGTAAAGACCCATTTTCCCAGATTTCTTTCAACCACAGAGGTTCTGGGTTTTTCACCGATATGGATTTTTTTTACATCCAAATAATTTTGAAGTTACTCACCCATGAATTTGCATCCAAGTAATTTCGGGGTTTTTCACCTACAAATTTGTGGTGCCTAACATAGAAAAGAAAATAAAGATGATAATATACCTATAACAATTTTTTCTCCTCTTTGCACTGCTCTAATTTCTCCAGCAGTCTTTTTTAATCCATCGCCAGCTTCCTCTTCTCCTTTTCTTTCTGTTATAATTTGTATCGAGGTTACTTCGGTCGCAATCTAGCCATTTATCATATATTAGAGCCAAATTTGAATTGGTTTAGGCTATGCTTACCAAACCCTTCAAAAATAGATAGCTTAGGAAACGATTGGTTTAAAGTCACCTTCTGAAATGAGAAGGACTTAATATATGTTTTGGGAGCATCGCCCTTTAGTCTTATTACTTTTCTAATGTTTGGTATATTAACGCTTAACGTTTGTTGCTCTTGGTTAAGTTCTCTCTCTACATTCATGACCTTTGCATATGTGTAAATATCTGTTGAACTTTGTTTTCCTTTATAATCATTATTGTCGTCTTTGTTCTTTGTGTAATTTTTTTTCTTTATTTGTTTGTGCAGTCTTTGTGAGTATTATTTCATTAATTTTTATGTTGAGTTGAATTCTTTTGTATTGTAGTTATACGTTCTTTTAAATATTTATGTTATTTGTGTTTTCCCTCATTCAGAGATAGTATTTAATAACCTGGTTATTGGAGGTTCTGAACGGTGGAGGGATAATTTGTATTGGGGTTACTTCGGTCGAAACTGAGCCGTTTATCATATATGCCAGCAAAATGAGTTTACTGCATATTAGATCAACATAGCTACATCTTTATTGAGTCCATATGTATTGACGGTTTTTGGGAGTTCAACTTATTTTGATTCAATGCATGAGGTGGTATACACTGCCCCTTTTGATAGTACATTTTTGGACTGGTTTAAGGATTTGAATAGGCCAGTTACCAACAAACACGGACTTCTATCTGTGGTCAACCTCTCTGTGGGAAACCCTTAATCAATCCTTCTAATATGCTCCACAGCTATGATAGCATCATATTGCAATTTGTTATTTATGAATGGTTACACTTATATATTGGCAATTTCATAAATAACATATTGAAATATGATGCTATCATAGCTGTGGAGCATATTAGAAGGATTGATTAAGGGCTTCCTACAGAGAGGTTGACCACAGATAGAAGTTCGTATTTGTTGGTAACTAGCCTATTCAAATCCTTAAACCAATCCAAAAGTGTACCATCAAAAGGGGCAGTGTATACCACCTCATGCATTGAATCAAAATAAGGAGAACTCCCAAAAACCGTCAATACATATGGACTCGATAAAGATGCAGTTATGTTGATCTTATATGTAGTAAACTCAATTTGCTGGCGTATATGATAAACGGCTCGGTTGCGACCGAAGTAACCCCAATACAAATTATCCATCCACCGTTCAGAACCTCCAATAACTAGGTTATTAAATACCATCCTTGAATGAGGGAAAACACAAAAAACATAAATATTTAAAAAAACGTATAACTATAATACAAAAGAATTCAACTCAACATAAAAATTAATAGAATAATACTCAAAAAGACTGTACAAACAAATAAAGAGAAAAAAATTACACAAAGAACAAATACAACAATAATGATTACAAAGGAAAACAAAGTTCAACAGATATTTACCCATATGCAAAGCTCATGAATGCAGAGAGAGAACTTAACCAAGAGCAACAAACTTTAAGCGTTAATATACCAAATATGAGAAAAGTAATAAGACTAAAGGGCGATGATCCCAAACATATATTAAGTCATTCTGATCAGAGAAAGTGACTTTAAACCAGTTGTTTCCTAAGCTATCTATTTTGAAGGGTTTGGTAAGCATAGCCTAAACCACTTCAAATTTGGCTCTAATGTTAGTAGCTAATGAAAGGGGCTCTCCAAATATTGTACCCGCTAGACAAAACTTTGCAAATTGCTCAGCTGCTGGATATAGCAAATATAGTCAGCAATGTTTGTCACTAAAAAATGCATGGGCTCTCAATTTAAAAACAAAAAAAAATATTCTTGAATGAACCAAAAAAGGAAAGAAAAAAGACTAGTGCATTTTCTTGTTGAATTATAACCTTTTTATTGTATAACGAGAAAGAAACCAAAAAATCATAACCATG